ATATATATAATAATAATAATAATAATAATAATAATAATAAAAAGCTTCCTTTTATGATGAAACACATACAATTCAGTATGGAACATGGAGGAAATCAAGGTTGAAGTGAAAATTGACATTTTGTCTAGATAACATGACATCAATTCAATATTTTGAGCATATCTAAAGTTGTATAATGGAACATGGAGGAAATCAAAGTTGAAGTGAAAATTGACATTTTGTCTAGATAACATGACATCAATTCAATATTTTGAGCATATCTAAAGTTGTATAAGTTCAAATGACAAGAAACCAATGCTAAAATTTCAAGTACAAAATTATTTACAACTTTCATGAAGATACATAGTCAAAAATCTCATGTCTTGACCAAGTTATTTACCATGCACATGATAAATGCTACAACAATCCTATTTTATGTTTTTGTACTTTAATTGTAATTGACTTAACCCCATTTTTATTCTTAGGTTTGAATAGACCTTTTAAAGTTTATTTTACCAAGTCTTTAACTAGGGGGAAACCCTAGGAGAAGCGGCGACTTTAGATAGAGATTGAAGACAATTTTTCTTTCTCTTTTTCTTCAACTTCAAGTTTTAATATTTTTTGTTTGTCTTCTTTTAAAATTTGGGCCTAACCCTCGAACTTTATTGATTCTTAATTGAAATATCTTTATATTTTTATGTGGTTTCTCCTTTTGATCGTAATTCTTATTATTTTATATATGCAAAGCGTTTGACCATCATTTTTCATAATCTTATATCTTTTAGGGGAGAATTGAAAGTTGAACCTAAATATTGAAGCTATAAGAATTCATTTTAAATTATGAAAGTAAGCTTAATTTATTGAGAGGATCCAATGAATTAAAAAAGAATATATTGGGTTTAATTAAACATGACTATCATAAATGTATGGTCAATTCAATTAGATACATTTTAATTAGTATCCTAAAAGATAATGATGATTACCTTAGGTTAATTACCTTCAAAAATAATCAATAAAAGGATTGAGGTAAAAAGATAAAGTCAACAAGGAGTCATGTCGTGAACACCCAATCCTAGAAGTTTTCTTTAAATTGATTTCCTCTAATTTCAATATTCTTGATATTTTTTTATCTTAATCTCCATCACTCATTTTACAATCAAATAAAATATTGTTTTACCTTCTTAAAGTATGATAATGTGATAGTTATAAAACATAATCCTTGTAATTCCATATTGACAATCGTACATTTGTGATTTTTTTCTTATCACTACTTATCAACTTTTTTATGCTTTAATGAGTGGAACAATTTTGTGTATCAATGTTAAACATCTTTATGTTGATCACTCTCTTCCTAAGGAACAAGTTTGTCTTTTTTTAACAAAATATTTTGTATTCTTAAAAATATTTGTCAATCCCAAAGAAGTTTGTTTCTTTTTGACCCATTAAGAAAAATAATAAAGATAAATGATTGAACTATTAGATACATTAATTAAATAATACTTTTAACGCATCCATCTTAAGATAGATGATGTGGTTTGTTTGTTTTGTTAAGTTCAAAAACATAGTTAGAGAGTTATTCCTTTTTGAACAATTTTCATTTGTCTTTCTTTTTATGATCTTTTATACATTAAAAATACATATCTATTTGTTATCATTAAAACATTGACTTTGAGGGGTTCTAATTCATTTTTTTTTAACAATACACAAGAGTAATATTGTTGCAATATAAAATAAGACCACATGTACCCTAAACAATGTGGAAGCCAAAAATCAAATTCTTCAACCATATAACTTAATTGGCAAGTAATCTCACAATAAATGACATACTTTGCCTCTACAGTAGAATAAATGGTGTCTGTTTGACACTTTTTCAAGAAACTACTCTTATCGGCATGAAAATAAATTAAAAATATGCGTTTAGTCATTGGGAATAACTTACAAAATCATTAATTACCTAAAGTTGATCAAACTTCACATATGTCAACATATGATCCATAGTGTCTTTTTAAGTATTTTAAAATATTTTACCACTTTCTAATGATACAAAAAATAGGTTTCTTAAGTATTTTTCCAAGGTATTAACAAAAAAATAGAAAAGAATACAAACTTGAGTTTAAACTAGGTTGCAAATAGTTAAAGCATACAAGACATTGTCAATTTCAACCATCTTTCTCATTCCAAGGACATTGAGATATAAAAGATTTTTTTCCTCTTTCTAAACAAAAGATAATACCATGACATGCACATGGGATTTTTTTAGAGTCTTTAAAATATGGTAGTTGCGATGAAACATCTAACGTCATGGAATTAAATAATCAATTGAGAAATAATCAATCATTTATCATCCAACCTTTAAACTCTAAATTTCATCTTCACCATTAAATAAAATCTATTTGAAATCCACACCTTTGCGCCAGTAATAAAGCCTCTAAGTTTATTATAGAATTGTTGAAATGACGAGAAATTCCCCAAAAAGAAAGTGAGTTCTATCCAACTTGACTCAAGCCATTGAAGTCTTATAAAGTATTTTTATTCTTCCCGGTATTAAGAGTTTTGATGTCTATAAAAAATTGCAAGTTCAAAAAAATAAAATTCTAAAGAGAAAACTACCATTTTGGTCCCTTATTTTATAAGGAGTCATCATATATTAAAAACATAACAAATAAATTTCTCACTTTTCATTCCATTAATCATGTTGATCCTTGTTATGGTGTAGATTTTAGTAAATTGTAAAAGTCAGAGAGTATAATAATAATACGTTAGTACTCTAAGGTTTTTACATACATTTTAAGAACAACAATAAATATATCACTTTCTGATATAATTTTGCTAAACTAATCTTACTCTCTCGATAAATGCATATTACTTTTAGTTGTAGTAATTAAATAATTTATGAAAAGGTAAGTTATGAAAAATTAATTAATATTGCATTAAAAAATTAAAATATCAATTATTTTTAAATATTTTTCAAATATTAAAATTGTAGTTGATTTAGAATAGGAGAAAACAAAATTATATAAGTGAGTAACCATAATAAAAGTTGAATTTTTTTAATATTAGGTATAACAACGTAATACAAAGTGAGAACCTAAATATATGATAGTGTACACAATTTCTAAAGCTTGAAAACTTAGCATTATTTTATTGAAAATAAAAAGCATAAATCTATTAAACAAAATAATAAAACAATCATAATCGTGAGATATAGTAAGAATAACGTAATACAAGAAACCAAGACATTTCAACTATTTGATAAGATGTAAATCGAATATATTATCTCCTAATATTTCTTAATATCTTCAAAATAGTTTTTTTTCTTCTTCTTTTTATAACCATGCATTACATCAAGTTTTGATTGTACGGAGTAGAACTCGACCTTTGCAAGATATGTGAGTTACTAACCTTTACTTTAAAGAAATATGCCTCCCTGTCGTGTGATAGAACCCATAAACGTTATTCATAAAACAGAAAAAAGTTTCCTGCAATGAGTAAACAATAATGTCTTTCTGATCGGTCAAGGGTATCAATAAAGGTTTGAATTATGCAAATATTGCATTGCATATATGGAAGAAAATGCAGCAGTTTTCGCACGACGGGGACAAAGGCTAGTTTATTTTATTATTTTCATGGCATGCTTTAACTTTAAAATAAATTAATCAAAATCATAGGTTTATTACGTTTTATTTTTTCCAAATATGAGTTTGGACATTCACCAAATTTCAAAGACTTAATAAGTACTAAAAATAGTTAACCTGAAAGCAATTCAATACCTACTACTAATACTCATTTAAAACTAACACATAGTATTTATAATTTTCAATAGTTTATTTTGCTATATTATTAATATAAAAATGTGTTAAATTAAATTAGTTGAATTTGGATTCATTAATAAAACGAGATTCCCGATTTCGTTAGTAAACCATGCATTAATAATAACATAACACATCAACGCATATAATTATAGGAGCGGAAACATTAAATGTAGATTTAAACATAATTATCATTTATTAAGACACAATCTGTTTGAAGCATGAAATAGATGATTAAAAGTAGTAAATTTGTCTTAATGAAGATTCACGTATTCAAAATTCAAATTCAAAAATACGGAATAAATAAATTATAATAAATTGATGTCAGTTGGTTCACATGTTAATGTCCAGCGCTAATTAAATGAAATTAAGACATAGTCTAAAAGAAAAAAAAAAAAGAGAAAAAGAAATTAAGGAGAGTGAGATGGGAAGTATTAGGATTTAGGAGGAGAGAAAAAGAGAGAAAGGGTGGAAGCGAAGAATGAAAATCTGGTTCTGCCAGACACCAACGACAACAGCTACATTCCGACTCCGCAATCGCCGCCGCGAGAGTTGCTTCCACGACGTCGTTTTCCACTTGAATGAATGGGAAACTGCGGAACCAGAGAGGAATCTGCCGTAGTTTCCAACGCTCAAGGTTCAGATCTAGGGCTCTCAATTCCGCTATTACTAAATTAACAGATTATCTAACCGCATTCCGCTGAATCCAATTTCCCTGAGTTAACTCGCTCACTCACTCACTCGCATTCTTTGTTTTTGTTTGGTTCAGTTCAGCAGCTTCACCATGCGACGTCGTTGGGCGCGAGTGCGAGGAGCCAGAACGCCGGCAGCGAGAAGAGGCACGGTCACGGTCACAGGCACAATCTGAGCGAGTGCGCTTCGGATCTGAGCGAGTCGTGTTCGACGCCGCGCGGTAACAGTGGCGGCAACACGCTGCTCTACACGCACGTGATCGCGTTCACGCTGTACGAGTTGGAGACCATAACGAAGAGCTTCCGCGGCGACTACATCCTCGGCGAGGGAGGGTTCGGGACCGTTTACAAAGGCTACATTGATGAGAACGTGAGAGTGGGACTCAAATCGCTGCCTGTAGCGGTCAAAGTGTTGAACAAGGAGGGACTGCAGGGACATCGCGAGTGGCTCGTGCGTTTCGCGTCTTGCATTTTGCGTTTTGCGTTTTGCATCTTTTTTTGTTTTAGTTTGTCTGCTTAATTTTTTTTTTTTTTTTTGTGTTTTGGTTGTGCAGACGGAGGTGAATTTTCTAGGGCAGCTTAGGCATCCTAATCTGGTGAAGTTGATTGGGTACTGCTGTGAGGATGACCATAGGCTGCTTGTGTATGAGTTCATGTTTCGAGGGAGTTTGGAGAATCACCTGTTCCGAAGTATGGCGAGTTTTTATTTTAGAATCAGAGTTTTTGTTGCTTTAATGCATGATTAGCTTAGGAATGGAATGGAAATATGGAATGGATTTGGATCTGAGTGAAGAAGAGAGATTCATAGGTGTTTAGGTTTCTGAGAGTAATACTAATACACGACGAATGAGTGATTTCATTAATTAGGTCTTGTTTGGACAAATCTCTCAACAGTACTTCTAGAGAAAGAAGGAAAAAGTAAAATGAATCAAACTTCTTTAATAAGTTAGGTGGACTTATGCATCTCAGTTTTTTCAGAATTTAGATGTGACAGCTTCTATGAAAGTTGAAATGCATAAATTGATTTTAACTGTGGTAAGAGGCTTGATTTGTTTTACCTTTACCTTATTTTCTTCTCCTATAAGTACGTATTGAAAAGTTCATTCAAATGAAACCTTAAAATGTAAGACTACTGGAAATTGGTTTTGTGCTGGTGGATTTGGCTTTCCTTATGTGAGGAAGCTATGGATGTTGATTTGGAAATCCATGAAGTACATTGGAGGAGCCAAATTATTGTGCTGTTCGATAAGTTTTATGGCACATTATTATAGAATCTAAGCCACTGGGTGCATTACTAATTTCTACCAAGAAAATGGATGTTTGCTTGCACTTGTCGTGCGTGGTGGGTTAAACACGCTATCAATTGATCGCACATGACAATTTTTTCTTGACTTCCAAATCGAAGTGTTGAAGATTGCCTAATGTCTATCTACTCTAGAGATGATCACTGTTGTTTCCTCAGTTCAAGATGCTAATGATGGACACACGCACTTTTTGATCAGTGTTGATTTAGAATCTGGAAACGTGGTTACCGATCTACTTCAATACATTTGATGTTTTATGTTTTGAATCTGCAGTAAAAAAAAATAAAAATAGCAAGACTGATAGTTATGAGGCTAAGATTTTTTTTTTTTTTTTTCTTGAAGTGTCTTTTCAACTTGTAGCTAATGATATGACCTTTCCTGATGCTTCCAGAAGCAACTGTTCCTTTATCATGGGCTACAAGAATGATGATTGCTCTTGGAGCTGCCAAAGGACTTGCCTTTCTCCACAATGCTGAAAGACCTGTAATCTATCGTGACTTCAAGACGTCTAATATACTATTGGACTCTGTAAGTTTCTGGTATTTTAAAGTTTAATTAACCTCTGTGTGTGTTGTATTTTATGGTTGTTATTAAGGAATACTATTTTTTTCACTGTGTTACCAAATGACTATATAGGACTATACAGCCAAGCTTTCTGATTTTGGACTAGCTAAAGCAGGACCACAAGGTGATGAAACCCATGTATCCACCCGAGTCATGGGTACATATGGATATGCTGCCCCTGAATATGTAATGACTGGTACGACCTTTGATTTTGAAATGCTCAATTTGTTGACAGAAAAAATGGAACTATAAATTGTTTGAAAACTTGGACATCCATTAAGGTTGATTGTACTTATCATGTTCAGTAATGTTAGAATTAGCTAGGATGATCTATCATGGGTGGGGCGACACAATTTAATGGTTGGTTCCCTTGTTCTGGACATAACATAACTTCACTATACAATGTTGTCCGTGTTATATATTTATGTTTTATACAATAAGTTTGTCTGCAAGATAGTATGTCTTTCTTGGCTTCACCAATAAGGAGATGTGCCGGGCATTGTGCCTCACTTTTAGTTGGAAGGACCAAGAAAGAAGGTTGGATGTCAGATGATTATTGAATTATAGTGAAAATCTGTCTCAATAATTATCAGTTAATTCCAATATTATGTAACTGTACAGAGACCAAAGATTAGTATGAATGAAATCTATTCTGGTGGCATCAAGGAATTGTTTTTATCTCATTGAGGGTCAATCCCGATTGTTTCCAGTTCTTCAACATTGCAGTTTTTATTGGTAACATGACTACAGAATTTCTCAAGACAATCTATGCTTTCCTCTTGAATAATTTACAGATCATTATCTTATTTTGTCTCCTTTCTTCTGCATCTTTCAAAACAAACATTTTTACATTGTATAGTTGCATAATTAACAATTCAAATTTTACATTAATTTTTGCTTGCACGTACACACCGAGCTTGTTATAAAATGAGTTATATGGTCTTTGTTTTGCATTTCCTCTGGTGCATGCATTGACACATCTAAACTTGACTCGTGTGAAAATGGTCAGGCCACCTGACAGCTAGGAGCGACATCTATAGCTTTGGCGTTGTTCTTTTGGAGCTTTTAACGGGAAGGAAATCTGTTGACAAGACCAGACCCGGAAAGGAACAGAGCTTAGTAGATTGGGCAAGGCCAAAGCTCAATGATAAGAGAAAGCTCCTACAAATAATTGATCCTAGACTGGAGAATCAATACTCAGTGAGGGCAGCACAAAAAGCATGTAGCCTGGCTTATTACTGTTTGAGTCAAAATCCCAAAGCGAGGCCACTAATGAGTGATGTAGTTGAGACATTGGAACCCCTACAAAGTTCAAGTGTTGGTGCAGGTGAAGTCTCATTATCTGGATCAAATAGTGGAAGTGCTGGTCCTTTTGCGATGAACAAAATCTCTGACTACCGAATGCGTCACAAGTTTTCAAACAATGTTGGTCCTGGTGCTTCTTGTCGGTCGCCAAACCCAAATTGCTCACCAGGTGGTCCAGCAGCATTACGGGTCAGATGAGATAATCTCATGCTATGAACCCGTCTGGTGTGCTTGTCGAATCTCCCCTTAATCTCGAGAAATAGTAATTGTTGTTAAAATGTGGGTGAATCCTTGTATTTGTTGCTTTGTACATGATGATATGGTGTCAAGAAGCCCCGGTGGATAATTTTTGTATCAAAGTTTGGTCTTCGGTTCATCTGGGTGGGAATTATTGTGTGGAAATCTGTGTATTTGTAATCATCGTGGCATCAGAACTAATATAACTGGCTCCTCACAACATCAGTAGGAGTAAGACGACTCCAACACGCAAGTACTTAATGATCTTTCTTTGAGATAAGATTATTAGGGGTAAGATAAGACAGTCTTAGTTAATATTTCTATGTCATGCCCGGTTTCTTGTCTGCACGTTCCTGTCTTTTTTAAGTGACCAAATGGTATTTTGAAAAAATAAAGATGGAGGGTCATTTTCAAGCGTTTTAAGGTTTTTGTTAGTTTCCTATTTTGAAGCCTCGTAAAGGCACTCCATTATTGTATGAGGTCATTTTCAAGCGTTTTAAGGTCTTAGTTAATATCACGATAAAGGAAAACTGAATGAGGTTGTTTAACGACCTCCGCGAAAACGAAAAAGAAAAATGTGTGTAGTTTTTTTAAGAAAATTTGTGAACTTTTAAAATAAACACCTTCAAGATTTATTTCATTTGCATATTAGAGACGCGTAGATGCAAGGATACTCAAATTGCATCAGTAGAAAAAAAATACTATCGGCTGTACACGATGCGAACAAGCTTATAATATTTTTTAATGACGTCTAGTTGTAACATCTTAATATACTGGTTAATCAAATTGAACCATCAACCATTGACTTATAAGGACATTTTAGGATTATCGTAATTGAGTAATTTTATATTTACCTAAATTTATTATTTTTTTACAGCAACAAAATTGGATTAATTCCATATTAGTAAAAGCAACAATACAATTTCGATCACAATGATAGAGGTATGGACTTCCTGTGAAGTAGCACTCCTTGCAAAAAATGAGCTGTCACATTTTCTTGTCTCCTAAAGAACTTGATTAGTTTGGAAACAAAGTGAGTAATTGCTCACAATCTTCAACTACAACCCCAAATTCAGAAACATCATCCTTTGGCTAAAAGATTTCCATCTACCACCATTTTATAATCCATTTCAAACAGATTTGAATATATATCTAGTAAGTAAAACGGGTAAACTTAAGCGATTAATATCAATTCATTTATATTTATAGGTTCTACACATCCTCAATATTATGTTATCACAGTGTAATTCAAATCCATGTCCATAAAAGAAACCATAATCTTTAATAGCACAACTTTATTGATAATGACCAAATAGATATACAAACCGAAAAACTATCTCAATTGTCACTTAACTAATACATTCACTAATTTATCAAACCCACAAAAAAACAATACTAGAGCAGACAACATAATCCTCCATCAAATTCTCACACGGCAATAATACAATATAGATTATTCGAAAGAACAAAAAAACATGAAGATGAGTTGTTCAGCTTGGAGCGTAAGTTGCACATTTCAGTTTTCGAGTCTATTCAAGTATACCTCAAACTAATTTAACAGATAATTTAGTTAATCACGAATTTATTTGGGGAACGCTTTCATACGTGTGATCAACTACTGTAGGTGAAATATTGGTTAAATAAGTTTGGCAAATGATAACACTGTAGACTCGGAATAGAGTACAACTTGGTGCAGCAAGTTGAACAAAAACTCTCACTTTTCCAAGATAGTAAAAAGCTTGGCGGCCACCTATAACATAAATTAGTCTCCGGACACATGAGTCTTGTCCTCGTAGTATCTTTTCTCACTCTCCCCCTTCTTCTCATTACGTTTCTGCATGCCAAAAGGAGTGAAAAAGAAGATGAGATACAATAACAAAGAAACAAATTTGGCATACACAACATATGTAGGATGATAATCAGAACTACCCTTTACACATATGTCAAATCTTCATGCACACGGCACTGAAGTGCAACCATATAACATTTTGTCTATCACTCATAATCACGAAAGTTCAGCTTCTTTGAAATCAGCAAAGAGTGAAGTATTTTAGTAATTATTAGTGAAAGAAAAAACGAAAAACATTGTCACTCCCACCGCCAGACTTCAATGTGTACGTTACTAGTTCCAACTACATTATTTGGCCCGTCATTTATAGTGCTACAATTACCTCAATTCTTGAAACCAAATCTCATTTCAATAAGTGTGAGAAAATCAATCCACTCCTAACCTCCCAAAAAGAATTGATTCAAATCGGTATATCAACTATAAAGTACTAACCAAACCCCTGCACAAAAATACCTACGCTTTAAAGGAGTAGCTCACCCACCTTTGCTACCATATTTAGAACTAATAAATTATCTCTATAGAAAATCAATGCCACGGAAAGCCTTGAATAAAAGGTTTCTAAACTACTGAAATTAATTACCAAACAGGCCACAACAGCCAAATTGGCCAAATATCAATCACATTCTAAACTAATCAAAACAAGAGGATTAACCGAAAGGAGAAATGGGCTTCATGAAAAGGACACACTAGTAACTGCATGCTTGATCTTGTTATGAAGTTGTTAATCATTAGCTAACAAGACTAATTACGATTGTGATTTATGGATTGTTTTTTAAAATATATATACCTATCTACCCCATGATTTTGAATAATTCTCACTACAGTAATTAATAATTAAGACAGGCCCTTACAAAGTAGGATTGTGACATATTTTGATAAGTCTCATACCAAATACTTAAAAAAAAGTAATCAAAAAAATAAGCAAACTCCTCAACTACAGAAGAGGTTAAGGTGAAAATTTGTCTTGGCTAGACACACAATATCTTATTTCTAGTACAACTACAAATATAATCACAAGCTAATTCACAGACCATCATAATTAAAATGCTTAATATGCTACTCCCTCCGTTTTTTATTCATAGTCGTTTAAGGTTTTGCACGAGACTTAAGGAAATTATTGATATTTTAGTTTTCAAAAATATTTATTACTTACTTTCCTATTCTACCATCTATTTTTTTATAGTATTTCGTTGGAAACATATTGCCCTTTTAAATGTAACATTAACTTTTCATAGGTAGTTGAAGAAAAAATAGGTAGACATTAGAAATAAATAGACACATTGTTCAGTAAACATACATTAATTATCAAGGGTAAAAATGAGAAAAAAAATTAATAAGTCATTGATTTTAGTAAAATTATAATGAAAAAAAAAACGACAAATTCTGACAAAACGACTATGAATAAAAAACGGAGGGAGTAACATTCTAACAGTAACTAACAAGCATTTTAAATTGAAAAATGATAAGCCAAAGAATCCAACAGTTACTACTACTAACCAAACAAAAGAAATTGACAAATGTCTGAACAAACCTGATATGCTTCATGATTTGCGACAATCCTTCTAATTATTGTCGTAGTTGTTATATCTAAAGTACTTTCTAAAATTTTGAAGATGCCCATGCTAATAGGAACAGCATATGGATTACATTGTTCCTATATGAAAACCAATGTCAATAGTTAGAGATGCAGAAGCAACTTATCAACTTAAAGAATAAAGTAATAATTGTAAATGCATCACTGTAGCAGAGAAATAAACAATTTACCTTCTGAAAATCATTATTTTCTGCAACAGTTCCATGAACAACTAATGAGATGTCAAATGTAGTGATCTGCACTCAAATGAAATCAAACCAAGTGATGTTAGAATGGAAAGTGTTCCAACAACTAACCAAGAAACCTTATCCCAGTAAGTAGGGATGGCTATGTTGCTGCATTTATAACAGTTTAGACAGATGCAAAGAGAACAAAGTTGTTCAAGAGAAACAAGAAATGAGAGATTTGTGAATGCCATAAACTCAATCAACTTAGGCAGTATATTTATATATACAAATATAAAAGGGTTACAAGGATAATATTAGAATGACCAAAACCAACAGAGAGCAAATACAAAAAAGATAAAATAATAATAAGGCTTAAATATGTTTAGCCCCTATAAATGATCGGGTTTTGATTTTGGTTTGTGTAAAAAAATTTCTGTTTTTCATCCTTCTAAAATCTTTAAATATTGTTTTTGGTCCTAATAAAATATTTTTAGTCCTAATAAAATGAGTCAAATTTGATTTTAGTCCCTGTAAAATATTTTTCTTTTGATTTTCAACTCTCTAAAATAACTATTTTTAGTCCCTAAAGATGATTTTAATGTAAAAACACATTTATTTTAAAGACAAAAAAAATTAAAAGTGTCACACAGGTCACTTAACTTTTTGATAGACAAATAAGTAATAAAAAAATGATTATATAATAGCAGGGACTAAAAATAGTGGTTTTAAATTTTATACGGATGAAAAATAGAGAAATTTTTTTTACATAGACCAAAATAAAAATTTGTTCATTTTAGGGACTAAAACCATATTTAAGCCTAATAATAATAATACAACAACACTGCCCAATCTCTAATCTCTAAGTATTCAAAATCACAACTCTTTTAAAAAGTCATAACCAGAATCCAGAGAGAAGCTATAAGCAAAATACTAACTTTATAAGGACAACAATGTAACCTTTATTTAAAATGGATAACGGAATGCTCAAGTTCCCCCTTTTTATCATACAATGAGCATCACCTAAAACAAGGCCAATCCAAAGGAGAGATATTGTGCTAATTATCAAGTACTTTGAAACTTCAGAATTTCAAAATAGGGTGATTGGGTTAATAAACTTTGCTTTAATTACTAGTATTAGCATTCAGTAATAATAATAATATTAAATCTAATGGCTCGAGAATGTTTACAGCAATAGAAAAGAAAGAATCATAATACATAACATTCATAAAAAATAAATAAATAAATAAATAAGCTAAAATGAGACTAACCATATCTTTGGACACCTCCCACGGTGCACCAATTATAACCTCATCTACATAGCGACATGCTAAAACACTTAGACTTCTTTCATGAAGATTCATGATAGGACGATGTGATCCTCTGGTTGCACTACAGAGAAAGAAAACACAAGATAAAATTTCCAAACATTACCACCCTGTATGAAATATAAACATAGACAATATTAGATGCTTAAATTATATTAATTCAAATTTATAGTTCATAATTGAAGGCAAAAAGAATTGCTACTACTGTAAGCATAGTTTTCCACAATGATGCAACCCAGTAACTATGGAGCCTCAGCCAAACACCATATAGATGGAACAAGTAAATAAAAAAGAAAGATTAATCTTTAATAAGATGCTACATAGAAGTACACGACAAATATTAGATAAAAAAAAAAACACACAATCGGGCAGCATATTTCAGAGAGAACAATTTGAGAAAATCATTAGCCCAAATGGTCATAGAGAAGCCAAGAACATAACATTGTATTTAGAATTTTAAACCACCCTAGAAAATAAACAATTAGTACATCGTCTATACTCATGGTGACAAAAGCTGCCATTATTTTTTTTAATTGTGAGACTTAGTGTAGATTACAACAGAAGCATTGAAAATTGCAATAAAATAGTGCAAACAACTTCCAACAAGCCTAAATGTAACTGTCCCCCCAGACCCTACCCCTTATAATATTCATATAGGAATCCTCCATGGCAGAGAATGGCCTGGCAGACTTTACAAAAAACCATCACTCTATCGCCATGGTGATGTGGCTTCACAAAGTGGCAACATGACAGCCACCTGATAGAAACTGGACTAGAAACTAGAATGAAATTTATTAATCAAATCCGTAATTGTCAATGAGTACCAGTGTGATTGCAAAATGGGCAAGGGAAAAATCTACAAGAATGACTGAATGAACTAGCAGGAGTATGAGAGCCTGGTCTTCCCACCCAAAACTAATCTCATCCGCTAACTTTCTCTATCATTTCCTGCCTCTATTTACAACAGACTAATTAATTACCTGTTCTAACAGATTGTGAGGCCTACTCTCTAATGACAAGGCCTAACTAAAAGGGCTCTCTGAAGAAAGTGAAATCTGGGCCTAACTCAATTTTCCAAATCCAGATTGTAAGGCAAATGTTGTTTTCGACTTATATACATTATTATAGCTATCTTAATAATCAATGTGGGATCTCCAACAAACTCATCTTAACACCATCACATCAATTGAATCATAGTGGGATAGCAACACAATGAGTAAAATTGCAACCCCCCCCAATAACCTGACCACCCAAGCCACCAGGAAATGTTACTTTGTTCAGGTTTGCACATGCTTACATAATTGTGATTTATGATATTATATTATGTTTCCTATTGGTCTTTCTTTCCTTCCTTTTACCTTCCTATTGCATTTAAATTTAAGAATGTGATACTTTCAATAAGTTTGATACGCTAAAAAAAATAGTTTGTTACTTTAGTAATTTGTGATTGTGATGCTTGAAGTATGTTATAATCTTTTGATATGGCAGCATGCCTCATAATTGCCACAATGCCATCCGGCTTAATTCCATAGTCCATTCTTGGGTTGCCACTATTCAACATTAATAACAATAAAAAATACAAAAACAAAACTTAAAAATTAAATAAGGTGGGAAAAGGCAGAAATATAAAGGTTGACAACCTGACTGTCTGATCAGTGTGTATTCCAACGAGAAGAAAATCTCCAAGACTCCTAGCAAGCCTCAAGATCTAATTAACATAAAGGTCAGTCAGTAGAATGTACAATATCCAGACACACCCATTTCAATTCTATACAATCTAAATGGTAGTAGCAGCAGAGGTAAAAAACTATTACAACAGAATAGTATAATTTAACATAGCTCACCCACCCAAAAAAAACCCTCATCTGATAACCAAGCATTTTATATTTTATTGCCAGATATAACAGTTAGGCAATGACATCAGATTATTGAATAAGTGCAACACCAAAAACAAGGACATTAGTTATATTATGTTTCTTTCTCACTACCCTCCAATCAATGTTGAGACCAAGACATTTGACAAACTACGTGCTTGTTTGGATTAGCTTACTTTGCATTAAAAACAGCTTATAATAAATATGTTACAGCACTGAGAGAGCTTTTGAATAAAAAGCTGATTTTAAGTAATGATCAAGCAAAACCAACAGTTATTTAATAGAGTATGTAAACTATACCTCCACATGTCCAGCATGAAAGAGATCAAAAGCACCATCTATATATACAATACGAGAATCAGGTCCTGGACCCTGGAAAAGCAAGCATGAGTAAATTATCAAGTGACACGAAGAAATTACTACATACGGCATATACAAAGCATGGCTCTATTGAGTTATTTTAAGGAAAATGTTAAACTATCTCTAGGTAGCAAGAAATAACAAATAAACCAACCGTTAAGATTCAATCACAACCTTAATAATATTCAGGAGACCAAATCAGCAACTTATACAGAGAGATATGCCATAGTTATTGCCATTTCTCTCAGCACGTGGGAGAAAGTCAGATAGAGGGAGAAAAATGAAGAAAAAGGAACGATATGCCTTAGTTATCCATTTCTTTCAGCATATCAATAGTGCAAGTTTCCAATGAAGGACTCGCGAGATAAGTCAGTCATGTCCACCACAACAAGCAAGCATTGTTTGTTGTGACATGTGTAGGAATTGAAAACCAATATGCTTTTTCTCTTCTTCTTTTTTTTCCAGGAAGGTTGCTATTTTAACGACTACTAAGGGTGATCATGGGCTCAGATCAACCCATCAACCTGAACAAAAAAGGAGTTTGGGGCTAGTTCAGGTAATTAGGGTTCTTTTTGGGTAGAAGTATGGCATAGCTGATCAATTTGAGTCGTGTTCATGTATTATGTTTATTCTTATAAACACACTGAACCCAACCTGGATATATTAGGTAAATGCCACAGAGAAGCTATGTGAATGCCTTGTTCACAAATCACAAGTTGATATTCTAGCATTTCTCTCCAACGGTACACACCCAACAACCACAAATTGAGAACAAGCAAAATATTTTAGCAACATGGTTGACTTTTTCATAATTCCTAGTGCCTAGCCTTCCCTGTCAATTGATATTCTAGTAAAATAATATTTCTTGATCCTCCAGCCCACATGTCTAATACATGAGCAAAAGTAAATCCTTAAAAGTGATCCAGTTGAGAAGGAAATAAGCAAACAATAATGCATTTGTCAATGATATTCAAAGACCCATTCCTGTAAACCAACATAACGATGTGAAATGAAATACATGATTCAAGCATCAGAAGACTAAAAGATGCAGAAATAATATAGAGGCGTAAGTAAATTGATAGCAAGCTTATAAGCAGTATGAAATCAGAATGAAGATTTTATATGAACATACCCTCCCATTTGAGAACTGAACAATTCTACGAGATGTAGGCAGAAAATGAGATATACGAGTTCCACTTGCAGCAGATGCACCAGCTTCAAACTTTGGACTATGGCCATTGCTGAACTGTCTTTGTAGAGAAGAATGATTATGACTGTCACTAATAGACCTTTCTCTTACACAGAGAAGCATGCGACCTGGGCAACAAATGATTATTTAACATTAATTATATATTCTATAAGTACAATAAGAGGCAACCAATCAGAATAAATATAACCTCAAGGAGAAAGCACAAACACAAGCTAAAGGTCCAAATGTATGCTTGCAGAAAGTAAAACATCAAACTAAACGACACAAAGAACCATCTAAAATGCAACAACCAGTAACAACCATTGCCAGTTGAGTGAGAATGGGCTTGAGGTTTTGTCATCAGGCTTCGGTGGACGTAACTACAGTCCACAGAGCAATAAGGAGTAAAGAGAGTAGTCTAAATAAAAGGTAAAGTCTGAAAGGTCTTTTAAGAAATTTGGTCAATTCATAGGAATGAAATTCAATACATAACGGGAAAAAATACAAATTTGAAAACTCGAGATTCACCCATTCAACAAAATTCCAAATTAAGCCTAACCAAGAAAATAACCTAAATGGAGGGAACATATATTAAATTAATACCCATTTAATAATTTGTTTATATAGAATGTGAAAGTTTATTGGAGAGAAGAGAGGGAAAGTACAACAATGAGAGTATATCCTCCCCCAAACCAGAAAAAACAAGATAAGACATAGAACATAAAACAAAACAACTATGCCCTCAATGCATATCCAAAAAGGCAACCACCTTGAAATACTCGAGTACAAGAGACCATAAACAACAAGGTGGCATTCCAAAGTACTTCTATCCAAAGAGTTAAACAGCATGCCCAATTGCACCAACACCAAAGAAAGAAATCAAAGCAATATAAATCTAACCAACAATATCAGTGCTTGAAACCCCTTCAGTGCGCTTTATCTGCTTATATCGACCAGCCTTCTTAGCATGAGCATAAGCATCAGTTCCATCGGGAAGAACACAAGGATCGTCCCCATGAATAATGTAATCTATCTTGTACTCATCAAAAAGCTTCTTCATGAACTCCTCAGTTATCGCATAGGGAGCCTCAGGAATAACCTCGTCCACCCACTTCACCGCATTAACCATTATCAACCTAACACACATTAACATCTCAAATCAAAAGCTAAACCAACATACCAAATCCCCCATATCACAATCAAAATAAACAAAGACAAAACTTAGTCTCAATTCCGTAGGTGCTTTTGGTGCTCCTCTCCAATCAAAATTAAAATCTCACTTAGGAACCTATACCAATATTTAAAGTAAACATTTGCTACGCAAACAAAATAAAACTTCAATTCTGATTAGAGAATAACCACCCAAAGCATCTATGGAATTGCATCTAAGTACGTTTTGTGCTTTTTGAACAAAACTTAAACGTAGTTTTCATAGGTGTTTTTAGTGCAGTTCTCCTGTTAGTTGAAGTTTCACCTTAGGAACCTATGCCAGCCAACAGTTAGTGTAAGCATTCATTAAACAGATTAGCAATGAAACTATAATTCTAATTGGAAAACAGCACCTACGAAACTGCATCTAAGTTTTGTCCGATTAAAGATCACAGGATAAGTAAACAACAAAATAAGGGCGTTCAAAGCAATACTCAAATCGCTACTCATGAGATCACCACCCCAGAAGAAACGGCTAATTAAATCACAAAAAGGAATATAAAACTGAAACCTTTCGTGAAGAGGGGTAACAGGGGGACCCTTATTAGCAATGATCTCTGCATCACTAACAACCCCAACGATCAACTGGTCACCGAGGGCACGAGCTTGGCGAAGGGCATTGCAATGGCCATAATGCATCATGTCGAAGCAACCGTCCATGTAGACGCGAACCGGTTTCTTGTTGCGTCTTCGGCTCTTCCAGAACATTCCAAGCTGGCCGGAGTACGCACCCAGCAGCGACACACCCACGATCACCCCTCCCACCATGCACGACACCACCCACTTCGCCGTCGCCGGCTTCTCCGTCGCCACCGCCTCGTAACTACCCATTTTCTCTCTCTCTCTTTCTCTCTCTCTCTCTCTTGCTAGCTATCACCGCTTCTTCTCCTTCCTCATTCGTAACACCGCAAATGGAATGGAGCAGAATGAAATGTGGGAATTGCCAAAGCAAAATATTCGGCCTCGATGCTTCAATTGTCGCTGTAAGATTCTGTCGAACTGGGCCTATGGAACCGACAACGTTCGAGACGGCCCATGCTTTCGCTTTTTTTTTTTTAAATTAAATTACGACAACGTTTCAACCTATGTTTTGTTTGCCATGTACAAGGTAACATGGATGGCCAGAAACATTATAGGCCCAAATACAGGCCCGTGGGCTTTTGTCAGCGTCACTCTTCAGAAGCCTTGTTCAAGCCACGTTATTTGTACATGATTTTTGTCAACTTCAGCAAATGTGGTGGGTCGAGAGACAACGTCAATACTAACGAATTTGACGTCAAAATCAAATAAATGAATGATAGAATAAGGTGACATTGTCAATACTAACACCGGCATGATTTCAATCACATACTGAGACTGTAAGTAAAATTCACTCAAAAAATTATTACACAAATAATTTTATTTAATCACAGCTACGAGAAAATCTCCCTAAAAGAATTACTGTATTGGGTGAAGTTTATTAGATAAATATTGATACTAGTTTCATGAGGTGAATCTCACATTTTCCCAATGTTTAGTGTATGCAATTATTGGTATTTGGAAAGTCTGATGCAATTTGCAGGTATGGGTGGATCTCCAAAAGTCCACATTCCTCTTCCCAATTTTCCAGATACGACTCCCCATATATGTCATAAAAATGTCCAAAATAAAAAATACATAAATATTCTCTAACGGTGCTCTCATGGCAATGATAACATTAATCATTTGACATTAATAAAATATAAATTTAAATATATTTTTTTCCATATAATTTATATTTTTTACTTTTACTCCTTATAATTTCTTTTATTCTAATATTTTATAATATTTTAAAAATAATAATCATTAATTCTCGTTAAAAAAATTATATCACAAATAGAATATATATTATAAAATTGGTTTTTTTTTCTTAGATAAAATTTCAAAACATATTTCATTATTGTTATTTTATCATATTTTTCATTTGCACCATCTTCAAGTCGTAGAATGTCATGTCTTAGTTGTTGGCAAAGTTAGATCACCAACCTCCCTTCTCCATGAGGTGTATTGTACATTATTATTGGAGCGATCACAATAGATGATGGTGGTCTTAATAGTCTTAAGCCAAATGGTATAGTTCTTCTTGGTGTTGGAGAAGGTGAGTTGGCAATGATACCAATAAAGTGGTGTATACTCTTGCAGCACATGAGCTCCTGCATAATGGGGGAGTAGCTGAGCGTGAAGTCAGATTCCTCCATAGTGAGGTGACAATCAATGGCAACCTCACAAAGACAACGATCATTGAGGACAAATTTGGAATCATTGTTAAGATTGCAATTTGTGAAAATTTGCTTAGCGTCGAGGATTAAGGTTTGGATTAAGAGCTTTAGAGTTTACATTGTTCCAGAGAGGAAAAGTACGATCATGAGGATGAACATAAGGGTTTGAGTTTCATGAAGTGCATTTTAAATTTTTATCTAAAAAAATATAATCAATTTACCTAGGTGACAATAGTAAAATGAAATATAATAAATAGTAGACAATGATATAAATAAATTTGCTCCATAAATTCTTATATGTTATAATTTATAGTTTCTACTTTATTGTGTTTGATAGAAAAAAAAAAAGAAAGAAAGAGGGGAGAGGGGGAGAAGAGAATAGAAGAGATGGGAAGTAGATAAGAAATTGAATGAAAATTGAAATTATTTAATAAGAGAGATATAAAAGAGAAGTGGGGAGAATATATATTTTTTTAATTAGTCTACATTATACTAAAAAAATAAATATTAAAATGATATTATAAATTAAATTACACAATTCTCATTTATCTTTAATATGTTGTTTTATTTTTTTTTTATGAATTAAGTTCACATTAAAAAAAATGGTCATAATCAATTGTGTTTTTCCTTTAAACAAAACACACTTGGTTATGTATGTATGAATACATAATCGATTATGTTTCTCTTAAAAAAAATAGCATAATCAATTATGTCTCTATCGTATGTAATAGTGTTTTAAACCAAAAGAAAATGACAATCAATTATGTAGCATAAGGGAATAAAACATTACAAGCAAAATAATTCTTCCTCTTCTGTGCAAATCTCCTCTCTTAATTTCAAGGGTATTAAAAATGTGAGACCCATCATTTTATTACTTTTACTTCTTTTCTTTTTTATTACATCAAACACGACTCTTCTTCATTATTCCCTACTAATCCACATGAATGGTGGATCCCTATCTCCTAAATCAGCTGCGTTGCTTCAAGGACTAAAGATATGTTTTGTAACTCATTTATATCAATACAAACAAAAATTTACATAATCTAGCTAGTGTACCAAAATGAGAAGTGAGTTTTTTTGTCTTTTTTATTTAACGTGAATTTAGTATTTTTCTTACAGGAAACCAAACATGCATAAATTGACCATTGATCACATTTCCTCTCCAGCAGCATGTTTTCGGGCTTCTATGGCTCAGTGCATGTAGATTTATCCGGCCATTAATATATTTTTTTTTATCAATATTATAGTTTTAGTTATTATTTTTTTACATTTATTGAATATATATATATATATAAAGAGTAAGTAGTTTTTGGTTAAAATTGATGATTAATATGAAGTAGTCACATGGAAGAGTAAGTAGTTTTAGGTTAGTTTATAGTTAGTTTTAGTTGTAAAAAGAAGTAGTCACATGAAAGAAATAGAATAAGCAAGAAGAGGAAAAATAAAATGAGGAAAGAAGTGATAGAATTATTTGCATTTGATAGGAAAAGGACGAAAGAGTAAGTAGAAAAGTGAAAATGGTTGCTAGCTAGGTCCAAAAACATGCTGCAAGCAAGTTAGCTTTAAAAGCAAAGACAAAACATGTATCTCATCAATCTATCGGGAACTTTCTCTCCTATTTTGTACTACACGATGCCACAGCCACAAGAGGCTCCACCATTTTAACAACATCACCGGCGTGGAGCGAGGGAGAGGGGAGAAAAATGGAACCAGTGTGTCCCCCGGGTGTTGAACCCCATGTTACGAGTTTGCAAACATATACTTAAATAAGTTTATAAATAACTTTTAATTTTAACCATTAATTTAATCACCATATTCATCAACTAGTACAATGTTATTCTATTGGAATCTCCGACACATTTTTTAAGCCAAAAATTACACATAATGGATAGTTTGATAATAACCAACAAGATGTAGCTTAATATGTCCAACATTTAATAATCGATAAAATAGACTTTAATTCAATATTATAAAATTGGTTTATAAAATTAATCATATTATTAATCAATGTAAGATGTCTCTTACATTATATTAACTCAAATTAGTTGTATTATCTATTGTAGTTTTACTTGTTTCAAATGTGATTACTTTTTAAAAAGATTTTCTATAGTCAATAAAAAAATGTACGTTTAAATTTTGGTCAGTATAGTTTTGTGAGTGTGCAATTTTGATTATTAATTTTTTTTATTACAAATTTAGTTTCTTTTTTTTAAATTAAACAATGTGAATTAACCATTAACATATCATGTGTTGTAGTATTAACTATTAAGAATTAAAAATGAAATTGTTTTAATATATTACAATTTTGAATTAAAAAAAAATTATATGTAAAAAAAATATTATGACTTACATGAAAGCTAACTAAACAATAGTGAAGTAGTATTAATATTTTTTTTAACCTTAGATAATATATTAATAGGAAATTGATATTTTTTAATTTTGAAATTTAGAACTAAATTTGTAATAAATAATTTAGACACTAAATTATATATTTGCATAATTATAAGAATTAAAAGTGAATTTGAATTATATATATTATTAATTTAATCACAATAATCTAATGGTTGGATTCTTTACATTCATTATAGGCGACTCTTTTTAAGTGTGGGGAATGAACAATGATTATTGAATTATTAAGCCACATATCCTTTGTGGAAACTTGAGCAAAATTGCATAATTCAAAAATAATTTTTAATTTAGCCATCTTTAGAATATTAAAAAATTAGTAAATATTAACTTTTACATACATATATCATGTGTGAGAAAATTAAAGTTACTTTTATCATTGAGATGAAATGACAAAATCTCAGTCATAAAACGGTTCAAGCATGAACCATCAAAATCAGTTATATATGAGGAAGAGCATGGTGGGTCAAGATCTTTTTTGTCTTAAGGTCAGCAATGTTGACTTGGGGGTCGAGGGTTATCAAGCGAATAATAGTCCACTACATGTGATCTTGATAAAACAACGTCAACAGAAATGAAATTTTTACTTTGATTCAAGAACACCTACATGATTTTGCTTTTTTTTTTTTTTTTTGTGTTAGTGTAATAATAGTACAAGTAAAAGGAAATTGCTCCAATTATTTTAAATTAAAAAGAAATCATAAGTAAGGTACATTTTATAACATAAGGACTAAGAATAACAAAGTGTACCTAAAGTCTTGAATTCTATGTGTATCCGCAAAAACATCCATAAACAAACGAGTATTTATCCATAGTTTTTAATATTCGCACATAACAAATATGTACTCACAAAATTGTATGGATATGAATTTGGGTTAGTCACTTCATATTTATTATATATTGATATAATTAAAAAATATCTACATTATTATATTAAGGAGATATTATTACTTTTGGTTTCCTTTTTAATATAAATTATTTTAATTTTTGTTCATTTTTTATAAGTTTCTAAAATTATTTTTTCTTACATCAATGTTATTTTTTTTCTTTATTTATTGTATTATAAAACTACTCGTAAATAATTGTAATTCTTTTTGTTTAAAAGTTATTCATGAATAATTGTTCATTAAAATATTTTTTTAAATACAATGTAAGTATGGAGTACATTGTGTGCATGTATGCGTGTGTGCATGTGTATGTATAATTGTGATTTCGACGTAAATGCAATTATAACTTCACTTTCGTCAAGTGTGACATTTTCGTTGTCATTAAAGTTGGACACAACCACACCATCTATTTCTATCATTGTCATT